TATTCTATTTGACACATTGACTTCTTTGCTTGGATCTATTAGTTCGATTTTTATTATCATGCTATTTGTGTTTTTACTTGGATCTAATGGATTTTGACTACATTTGTTTTCTAATAACTGATTAACATGTTCTTCTAATGTCATATTTATTACTTTATAATTTGAAGTGAAATTTTTCGTAATATCTCCCCTCGTATGAAAGAAGATGTGTTATATATTTTTGTAGTAATTATTTTACTAGATTGTGTATCTAGTTGTGGACATCTAAGACTTATACTATTTAGTCTTTGAATAAATGGGCTATATAACTTAAGAAAGTTATTTCCTATTATAAATGGTAAACCTGTATTTTGCTTATAAAGACTTGGTAAAGGAAATTTTTTTCCTTCTATTAACAATACTAAATCTGTTGCTCTATAATCAATACTTATTGTCTTATTATTTGCAATTCTTACTATAATTGGTTTGTCTAATTTCTTCCAATATTTACTAGGTAATATAGATTCTTTTGCTAGACATATTGTTGCACCTGTGTCTATATATGCTAATAGAAATTTGTTAAATAATTTAACTTTTATAAATGAACTATTTTTACACATCTTCTGATTCAGATGATTCCAAATCACTATCTGTTTCTGATTCTAAATCATATATATCGAAGTCTAATAGTTCACCTTCTTCGTATTCTTCTTCTATAGGTTCATAACCTAGAGAAAATATCATTTTTAATTTTCTTTCTTTTTCTGGAATGTTTTTAGGACATTCATTTGCGTAGTGTCCTATTTCTTGACATTTCCAACATCTACAATTCTTTTTTCCTTTAGGACAATATTTGGGTTTTCCTAAGTATTTTTCTTGTTTTCTAAACTTTCCTTTATATTTTGCTTTCCACGGTTTTCTAAATGTTTTATATCTTCTTGGTCTATATCGTTTGTTAAACTTATTGTATTTATAATATTTTTTCTTTCTATATGGTTTATAACAACCAAATTCTTGCGGTACACTTTCTAATTGTTTACAACATCTTGAATCGACTTTAGTCATTTTATGGTGTTCTATTTTCCTTATACAAAGTTCATCTCTATATTCTTTTGCATATTTTCTAAAATTCCTAAAGTTTTTTCTTCTCTTGTTTCATTAATCTTCTTCTGAATATATTTATTCATTTCATATTTAAGTTTACTTTCAACAATTTCTATTAATCCTGATCGATCCTTAATTTTATAAAAAATTTCTCTTACTTGACAGAAGAAATTTTCGATATAACATATATTACATAACTTCATGTTAGTTAAAAATCTAACTACCTTATCATTTTGTGTTTCTTTTGACTCTTGTCCTGTAATTCCTAAAAATTCTCTTAATAGATTTTTTGCTAATTCCCTTAAAGCTATTATTTTATATTCTGCTCCTGTTTATGAACCACTGGCTTCGAGATTAAGTAGGATTTGAGTATTTTCTAGATAATCAAATAATACTCCTAATGTTTTATACCTTATATAATTGGAAAAATCTGTTAATGTCATTCCATTTATCATTGAATCATTAGTTTGGACTAGTAATTTTAATTGATTAGTCCAAGTGACTATTAAATCTTCTGCATTGGTTGCACAATCTATATTTAGTATTCCATTAGATAGATTTCTTTCTTTTTCTAAATATGCTGGTGGTATATTTTTCTTAATTTTTTCTTGATGATAACTATAATCATTTCTGTATATAAAGTCTCTAAAACTGCTTTCTACGTAATTATTTTGTTAACTAAATGCTTCATTATTGTTTGTTCTAGGTCTCTTTGGTGATAATGGTGGTGTTGTATGAGGTTTTTGATCAGTCATATTAAATGTTGGTTCGTCTTCATCTTCACTATCTATTCCGTAGATTATTCTTTGTTTATCCTCATCATCTATTTTTGCCATTCTAGTTTCTTCAATATTGCATTTTTCTAATAATTGGGTTAATCTATCTATGTCATCCATTAGAACTTGTTGGTGGTTCTATTTGAATTGGTTTAAATAACTTTTTCTACGTTTTTTCTTTTTGTATTAAATCTTGTAGTTCTTTTACTGATCCTTTTATTTCTTCTAATTTTTCTAATGTTTCTAATTGAGTTTTCTTTATTATTTCTGTAAGTGTTCCTATTTGTTCGGAAACTCTTAGTGGTTCACTCATATTTTTCGATTCAATTCTTTCTAATTATCTTCCTTAATAGTTTTTCTTAAGAAATAGAATTTTCTTTTGATTTTGGCTATAGCAAAATATGGTGTGTTCATAACATTCAAGTAGATTAAAAATTGCCACATGTGTTTTTCTTATTGGACCTTGCTCAATATGGGTAGTACCCATACGGGCAGCATGAAATGATTCAACCCAACCCAACCCAACCCAACCCAACCCAACCTAATAATTAAAAATTATTTTTATCTTTGTACAAAAAAAAAAAATTATTTTTATCTCATCTACCTACACAACTCAACCTTTCAAATAAATTTATCTTTATCCCCAGCCCAACTCAGACTAAATATATATTTTATTTTAATTTTTTTAAAAATTGCAATTGTGTTATAAAATATATCAAATGTGGTATCTATTTGTAGATAATGAAAAAAAATACGAATTTTAGTATTTTTTTAGAAAAAAATACACTTGTCCAATTGTCCCATTTTTACACAAGCACCAGTCGCGACCCGAGGTCACAATCGCGCAAGTTATGATATTTTCCTTTTTTTTTTTTTGGTTTTATTGTCGTGACCCAACTAGTGGGTCACAAACAAAGATAGTCCTAAACGCAACTCAACTTAAATATTTATTTTATTTAATGTATCTAAAAAATACAGTTGTATATCAAAATATATCAAGTGTGGTCTCTATTTATAGAGAATAAAAAAATACGAATTTTAGTATTTATTTTTTATTTTATTTACAGCAAAAAATATTAAAGTTGACCAATGAAAAAATGACAAGTGTCCCCTTCTAGACAACAACCGGTTGCAACCTTGGGTCACATTGTGACCTAGGTTGCACAACCTCCTGCTAGACATGGCCAAAACTCGGGCCGAGTCGTGACCCGGCCCGTCCCGACCCGTTGGGTCGTTGGACTCGAAAACAATGACCCAGACATGGCACGACCCTCTACTCGGGGTGGGTCGGGCCGGGTCCGTGTCCGGGGCGATTCCGTCATTTTTTGAAAAGCAATAAAAAAATATAAAATAAAATAAAAAGCGGGTCATCGACCTAGCCCGGACCGGACCCGTCGGGTCGGGTCATGAAATTGATGACCCTGATACGACCCTTCGGAAATCCGGTCTGGAGCCGGACCCGTGGTCAATGGGTTTGACCGGGCCGGGTCGACGGGCCGAGCGGCCCTTGGCCATGTCTAGCTCCTGCTTTTTTTTTTATTTTTTATTTTTTTTTATTTTTAATTGGTGACCCACTCCTTGGGTCACCGATAAAGGTAGTCTTATAATGAAAAAATAACTAAAAAATAGATTTTAAATTAAAAATAATGTAAAATGTAAGTCTTGAAAAAAAAAGTCAAGCCTTAGATTGATACAAATGAAACAAATAAAAAAAATTAGGTCTTTGTAATGAAATTTTCTCAATATTTTATATATATATATTTCAGTGAAGCTTTAAAATACAGGGGTTGTGGTGAAGTTTCATCTTCCTATGTCATCGGAATATTGAAGTTGGGCGACCATTCTGCTCCCTTTTCATCGCATTCTCCATGTAATTCCTCTATTTACCTCTATAGACTTTAGTTAATAATTTCTTCATCATCTTCAAATACCTACTTAATTTAGTTTGTTCTTCCCTTAGTTCCATCCGTAAGACATTGAGGTGGTGTGGCAAATGCTAAAACTTATCTGGCTTCGTTTTCTTGTCAATGGAAGTTAAAGTAAATTCTTCATGGTGAGACTAGACAGACAGGAGGAGATTCAATGTGGGTATGTGTTTTCGTGAAAGTATTTTGACGTTGGAAGATGATTCAGTTGTAATGGAGATTTTGGGTTTTTAGAGGGATTTAGTGGGCATAATGTTGCACGATTGGTCTCGTCCTTACGCCGACCCCCCCGCTTCCCAATTCCACCCATTAACACACGTACACACGCAGAAGTTGGGTTTGAGTATTCTAGAAATGTTATGTAAGTTTAGTTATAAATGTAACACAAATCTTGATTCATGTGGGAAGTGATTTAAGAGGAAGCCCACCCAGTATTTCCTCTGATGTTGTATGTGAGTGGTGGGCAATGGATTGAGATTTTATCAATTAGACTAACTTAGTTGCGGGGATTTAATTGGCTGCTCGTTGTAAACGGAGTTTGGTGAAGATGTGCTTGATATTTTCTTACAAGGCACTGAAATGGGGATTAATGGGACTCGGAGATGGGTAGATTAAGTACCTACATGGAGTATTTCTTATTTTGTGCGTCACATAATATGAAAGGCCAAGCATCTATGTGGTAGTGATGTTAATATTTCTAAGTGTCCCGAGTGCTTGCCATGCATCATATTTTACATTGTTGTTCTTTTAAAAATTTCCTTTTTCTTTTCAGAAAAGAGCATGGAAATGTGTCTTGAGATTTGGTATCCCTGTATGTCATCATATCTTCTTAATAGTGTACTAATTGCTATTCTACATTTCTTTGGCTTTCTGTTGATAATGTTCTTGTATTTTTCTTCTCCATGTTGATGTCGCCTAGTGAATAGTTGGGTGTAGTTACTTTTCTCTTCTTGTTTTTAAGTCTCTTTCTGCTCAGTCGTCCTCTAGTGTGATTTTTCTATCCAATGGATAGGTACACAATAAACCAGGCTCCGGTTCATTGTGAGAGACGATGAAGTCTGCTGGACATACTTTGCTTGCTTCTTTAACTCCTACTCACTCTCTTATCCTGAAAAACCATGGCAGATTGTCTCCAAATCTAATTTTTGGAAATCTTTCCAAAACAAGGAAACTGCATCAGTACCCTCACAAGTGCCAGTTCCATAAACAGAACATAATGGCTGCTAGCCGGTACCCTCCCCCTTGGTTCAGGTTGATCTTCTTTCTGCTTCCAAATCTTCTTTTCCACATGGTAGTTGTTTGGCTATGTCAGATCTTTAACACCTGCTAGATATATAGTGTTGCGCCAATGATGGACTACACGGACAACCACTATAGGACTTTAGCTCGCATCATATCAAAGCATTCTTGGCTTTACACAGAAATGATTGCTGCAGAAACTATAGTATTTCAGAAGGGAAATTTGGTATGATTTCCAGAAACTTTTTTTTTTCCTGCTCATGTTTTCAGAGGATATATACACTGTTGTAAGAGAAATGTGAGGAGTTAGCAATGCATCTGAAGCTTGTTCCCCGTATTTACAGTTTGCAAAGCTAATTATTCTTAAAATTAATAGGTTTTTTGCCTCTTTCAATTGCCTATTTTCTTTGGTAACAGGGTCTCTCATCTTACTACCTCATGTCCAAGAAAGTAGATAAAATATGAAATGAGACAGAAAAAAGAGCTATTCAATTACAGTCTGAAACTTAAAAGAGTTGCTGATGAACAAGTAGAGTTAAATCCTGAGTAACATTGTACTACTATTGGGGTGATAAAAAAGAAAAGAAATTTGGTCTATGGTACTTAAACAAGACCATGAGATGGAAGTTGTTCTCGCATTTATTGTTAAACCACACCAAATTGCTGTTGTTGGTGGGTTTACAGAACTGCGTATGGAGGATATATGTATTTGTTTTTTTTTTGTTTTTTTTTTAAATGAATGAAAGGGTTTGCTGTTAAATTGCTTTTCATCATTGCTAAGAGACAGGATGTTAATGTAGAAGAAAAAACTATACAGTAGCACAGACATCTATTGTCATAGTAACTCTCTAGTCTTTAGTTATAGCCATGTGATATAGTCATAATGTTGTTTAGTCATTTAGTATCCTACTTTAATGACCCACATTCTCCTTAGGCTTTCAAGACGGTGATTTGGGTACGACGTGGTAGTTTGTTGCTTGGTATAAGTCATGGGTTTGATGGGTAGCCGCATTTTCCACAAGGATGCATTGGCAATACTTTCTCTATTATTTACATGAGAAAAAGTGTTGTATCTATCTCGATCTTCAATCATGTGATGGCATTTCATTAACAAAGACACCTGATTTCATTTATTTGTTCTCTGGTATCATCAGGATCGATTTTTGGCATTTGGTCCGGAACAGCATCCGATAGTGCTTCAAATTGGGGGAAGTGACTTGAATAACATTGCTAAAGCAACTCAACTCACAAATTCTTATGGCTATGATGAGATCAATTTCAAGTTTGTGCTCTCATTACGGTATCACGATTTATTTATCGATGTTTTACTTTTTTATGTTGCTAAACTTAGACCTCTATGGAACAGCTGTGGCTGTCCAAGCCCCAAGGTTGCTGGAAAAGGTTGTTTTGGCGTGCGCCTAATGCTTGATCCAAAGGTTTGTCAAATAGTCCTTGACTTACATTGGATGACATTTAGTGCACGATGAGTTCTAATTTAGCTGCTTCATATTTTACAAGGGAAGTTTGTTGCCGATGCTATGTCAGTAATTTCAGCTAATACAAATGTTCCTGTTAGTGTCAAATGCCGAATCGGTGTTGATGACCGTGATTCATATAATGAGCTGTGTAAGTTCTTCCACTGCTTTTATATCGGAGTTTAGTAAAATATACTTTTTCTGCTTATACTTTTGCTGAGAAATGCAAGATGAGTAATGCTCTTCTTTACGTAGGTGGTATTTCACATTTCCAGATGTAGCCTGCTTCCACCTCTTATCATTCATCTGAATAAGTTCTTATGTTAAGCATCTTATATGGCCCCAGAAATATTTTTGTTCCTAAACGTTGTCTATATTCATATAACTGGATTCTTATTTTTTTTTTTTTTTTAAAAAGCTTGAGGAACAGCATTTCTGCTATTTCACGACTTGCCTATTTTCACTTCTATATCTAGATGCTTTTTCGATATGCTGCTTTAGATTCTCATGTTACTATGTTAGATATTTTGAATTCTTGGCCTTGTCTTTATTGTATCTGATTACATGGAGTTGCTTCCTAGGGTTGTTTCACTTCTTTGCATAGATTGTTATGCTTGAACAATTATCTTCTTTGAAGGTCAAAACAATTTTTTTGCTCTGTGTACATACATTAGATTGCTTAAATCAATTATAATAGTTTCTATTTGAACTATATATGGATGTGCTGGTGAATTTTGTTCCCAATTGTAATTGGTCATTTCCATTTCTGTGCAGGTGATTTTATATATAAGGTCTCATCTCAATCACCAACAAAGCATTTCATCATACACTCCAGGAAGGCATTACTTAATGGAATAAGCCCCAAAGAAAATAGATCTATTCCACCCTTAAAGTAAGCATTTAGCATATTAGAATGTTTATTAATATATAGGTGAACCGAAATTCTCATTTCATTTCTATCTTTAATCGTTAGGTTTGTTAGTTTCGTAACTCAGCGTAGTTAGCTGTGTGTGATTTGCAGATATGAATTCTACTATGCTCTTGTGCGTGATTTTCCTGATCTACAGTTCACCATTAATGGAGGCATTAACACCGTCGATGAGGTGACTCTTAAAGCTATTTCCCATCATTAGACGTGTAACATTCTGAAATTTTTTTAAGCTTAGAAGTGTTGAACGTGAACAAAGGTGTTACTATTCAAATTAAGTGGGGTTGGCACCTTTTGGATATTCTTGGTCTTTTTTTCATCCACGATATATTTTAAGTTTTCCGCTGCCTTTTTTTCTTTTTATAAAAAAAAAGTTCCCATGGGGGGAATATATATATTGGTGCTGTCATTTCAATTTTTATTCACTGTTGATGACTGGGTTGCTCAAGAGTTTACTAAAAAGTTGCTTTCAGATTTTCTTTCAGTGGAAAGAAATATGTGCTTTTCTGGATCATAGTTCTTGAGAATCTCTATATTACCATCCTATTAATATGTTGGTGGTGAATATTTTCTGCTTAATTGCCTCCTCCCCACCCACCGTGGTACTCTATTGCTATCAATTGATGGTAATGATGTTACGCATAAGCGAATGTATTATTAAAGTGATTTATCTAAACAAACTGTATATCAGAGATTGACATGAAAATATTACTGATACATCTGGTCATACTTTTGGATCTCTTTGTGCTTGTATCATGCTTATTCATACGTGTCCTGGTCATTGTACCCATATTTAATTATTTTAACTTTCAGGTGAATGCAGCACTACAGGAAGGAGCTCATGGAGTTATGGTTGGGCGTGCAGCTTACAATAAGTATGAAGTATACTTTAATATGCAATATTCACATTTTTATTTCTGAGTATTCTATACATGCCTTTCTAGGTTACACCTTTATTTTTTGTATGGGTTATGTTGATTGCTGAAGGTATGCATAACCGTTACTGGGTGATGGTTGCTGATAATCTTTAAATTGTAAACTTAAGAGCAAACTCCATGAGTTCCTAGCTATGATCCGGTATCTGATTAGTCTTCTTTATTCCGCCTGCACTCTATTAATTTAAAGAGACACTGGCAAGTTATTGGTTTTCTTTAGTCTACATTTTCGTATTGTTTTTTCTTCTTCAATTAGAGTAGCTGAGGGTTATAGTCATACTGTTTTCCTGTTATCTGCCAGCACTGCTTAGGCCGTGCTTGTTTATAAAAAAATTAGAAAAAACTGTTTTTTTTTTTTTTTTTTTTAACTGGAGTTTATTTGAAAAAGATAGTATTGTTTGGTTGTTAGTGGGATTTTAAAAATGTATTAAATAATATTTAAAAAAAATTATTAAAATTGATTTGATGTAAAAGTAGGAGATAAATGATCGGAAATGATAGGTAGTTACAATTATGCGAGTTGATGAATAGTGAATTAAAGTTGATGTGATGTGTAAGAATGACTGAATGATATTATTTAACTATATTGATAACATCGAGGAGAGTGGATTTGAGTTAGATTTTGAATTGAGATAGATTTTTTTAGAGTTGAGTTTTTTTGTTTGTTTGTTTTTTTTTTTTTTCCCTAAACAAGCAAAGCCTTAGATACTGTTTTTGTTCTTCTGATCTTTTATATCGACAATGAATGAAAGCACTGTTATATATTATTTTTTTCTCTTTTTCTCACACAAGGGTAAGATTACCTTTAAATTTATGTTTTCTTTTCATTACCTTTGACACTAAAAGCCATGGTAATTTTTTTCCAGTCCGTGGAATCTTTTGGGGCATGTTGATAGTGTTGTTTACGGTGCCCCTCTAAGCAGTCTAACTCGGCGACAGGTTGGTCAGCTAGCCTTGTGTTGTATTTCTTTGATTATCAATGAAATGTTTGTGTTTCTTGTGCAAAACTATGATTAGCTGCAAGTAATTTTTCTGCTTAGGTTCTTGAAAAGTACCAGGTGTATGGTGATTCAGTCTTGGGACTATATGGACCTAAACCGAATGTCCGTGAAGTTATAAAAGTATGGACACTATCTTTTTACATTTTATCTTAGATTAAAAGTCTACCTTCATTTATTGAGCTGTTTTGAGCATTAAAGTAAGCCGCTAGCCTTTGATCGTATGTTGCTGCTAATGGTAACATATTTTTTATTTTTTGTGCTTTTACTTATGCTTACTATTTTTGTATTTTTCGTACATGTAATGTTATTTCTGATTGTCCGTTCATACATGCAGCCTTTGCTTGGGTTTTTCCATGGGGAGCCGGGAAATGGCCTGTGGAAGCGCAAAGCTGATGCCGCCTTCATGAGCTGCAAGGTATATTCAGGACTCAAATAATATTTGTTGGTTTGTTTTTATTTATTTACTATTTTAATATGCCATCTTACGTCTTTTTTTCCTTGGACGGGGTTGATATTTGGCTCATCTCGGTTTTTCCAAGTGATGCATAATCTACTTCGAATATTTGCAAAGTTATTTTTCTTTCTTCAAGTTTTTGGAAGCTATGCCATTTGATAAAATACTCATGCAAATATCCGAATGTACTTTTCTGGATTCGCAGACGATAAAAGCCTTTTTTGAGGAGACCCTTGTGGCTATACCAGATTCAGTCTTGGACGCACCTATTACTCAAGCCCCGATAAGTTTCCCGGATGTTTTTGCTGATGCTAAGAGAGTGTTGCCTTCTCCCTATTATAGGGTGAAAACAGAGGAAGAAGAGCTTTTGTATGCTTAGCGGTCATCGTTTTCGAAGGTTTGCAGTTGCAGGCTGCGTCAAAAGTTTTGCCACATATCATAGAGTGGAGAGCTTGACAAATGCACTCAAATGCTCCCCAGTTTGGTTTGCTGGTTATATGCTTTACAATTGTACGGACCTTTTGTGCCACCATATATTGCTGGAATGTCATACTCAGAAATTATTTATGATTGTAACGTGTTCTCTCTTGTTCACGAGGAAGGTTAAGTTTTTATTTATTTATTTAATTTTATTTTATTGAGTTTCACTACATTGAGAGCTTAGTAGGATTTGTTTGATAGTAATAACTTTTTTTTTGTTTTTTTTTTTTTTTTTTTTTTTTTTT